CTTTCAGAAATGAGATTTTGAAATATGTACCTGAGAAAACGTAAATTCTTTTTATTTGGGGTAATGCTAAGTGACATTTTGGTTGATTCTGTTCTCCTTATATCTCAGGGGTTTTGTAATTTTGTATGTGTGTGTTTTAAGTCATTAAAGTTATAAAGAAGAGAAGACAAAGCTAGGAATAAACATTCCCAAATCATCTTTAATTCCACAAGGCATCTAATACCTACTTCTGTGTTCATCTGGAGAGAGATTCAAAGCTGGTACTCCTAACCAGCCTTTGTCTAAGGCTCTGCCTCTCACACTCTTCTCTTTTTGGATAAAAATTTTTAATTTACAGGCAGCTTAAGGGTGCTGTGTTTCAGTGCATTGTGAACTGGGAGTAATAATGTCTACTCTTAGCTTACTGTATCAGGACCTCAGACCAGTGACATTACTTCTCTGTGCTACACCTAAATCTCTTATAAGGCCTGCATGCTCCAGGGACAAAGGTGTTATTCTCAGCAAGCTGAGTGGGAGCCTGCAGGAAATGCCTCCATCTGCCACAGATACTTATATAGACAAAATTATTGATGTTTAATGGCAGAAGGGTGGCTCCCTTTCTCACTGGATTGAACCATGAGAACATATCTGTTTTCTTGATAAGACTGCGGCCAGCTTCGTGTTTGGTCTAGAAGGTAGATGAACTGCCTGCAGGCTGCAGAGATATCTGCTTTGTTTTCTCTGTATCTTTGCCAGAGTGTATCTTCATTTTTCATCTCAAAAACTGTTTTTAAACTTAATTACACTGAACTTTTTGTATATGTTGTCCTGACAATAAGTGGGTCTGGGGCTTAGGGAGGAGAATGCAGAGCAAAAAAATGCATCTTTATGAGGAGATAAATGAGAAATCACTTTCATTGTTTAGAATAACCAGTAGTGAAGTGAACCCAGTTATAAAAAGGACACAACTGGAGGCACATTTTTTTTGAGAGGAAGAAAAGGAATAATATGAATTTTAAAAAAGTTTAACAAAAACTATAGCAACTAATTTTTATTCTCTTACATCTGTCTTTTCTATGATATTGTAAACCTTAAAAATCTTCTGATTCACATAGAATCAAACTTTCTTTGCTTAATAATGTCTAAGCTTAAGATCTTAAAACAAAATGAAGCTGTTCCTACTTAGACTACTTGCATGTAAAGAAGCAAACTTGAAATAGATTACTTAGTTTTTTCTTTAGGTGACATTTTCAACTTTAGTTTTTAGAAGATCAATTTTGTATAGGAAATTTTAGAGTTAACCTAAACTTTCATAATTAAAGATGTTTTGTTTCATCCAGGTTTTATTGTTGTTATTGTTCTTGTTTGGGGGTGTGCTTTTGTGTGTGTGTGTGTAGCGGGTGGGGTAGTTTGGGTTTTTTTTTTTGACCAAGTAAATAGTTTCAACTGGAGGACAACTTCACAGTGCTATTCCCCACCAAAGTTTTGTGGCTTCTCCTGTCAATGGGACTCTATGGCACCAAGAACTTAGTCATTATCTATTAAGGGTGTCATGTTCTTTTTGCCTTTATAAGCTTGAATTTCAGATTTTATATTCATTCCAGCATTATTTTTTGTCTTCACAGACAAGCTGTTGAATACGCAGGTTGAATGGTACAAGATGACTAGGTGTACAGTATCTTAGAAATTTACATTCTTTGAAATTTAGGGGTGTGACACCCTGCCTATCTGTAAGTCAGCCCTCTGGCCTCCCCAGCTTCACAAATGCAGCTGTGCACACTGAAGTATGTGGGAGTTGAAGAGGGGATATGGAGAAGCCCAGAAGCAGCTAAAATTACTGTCTAGAAGTCCAGGAACTCCATTCCTTTAGCTAGAACTTATCTCAGCATCTTACTCTAACTGGAGGCACCCTTTAAGTCAGCTTATTTATCTGTTTGTATTAACTGCTTTCTCTCTGTGTAAACCTCTTTTTATTTCCTTCCTCCTCCCTTCTTCCAAAATGAGACATACTGGTGATCTTATTTATTTAAATGTTATCTCTGCTGTGCCTTTTCATTTAAAACCTTTAATGTTGATTTGTGAAATGGACATCTTTTTCCTGCTCAGTTTCAGAAACATTAGGCATCAGTGAAGGGGTGAGGCAGGAGGAAGAGAAGATGGAAAGTACACAGGCAGTGACTCCAAAGACCTGAAATGGCAGATGGAAAACCCTCCACCATAGCCAATGTAGGAAGTTGTTGATATCGACCACTGACTCTGTACCGACTTCTCCTTCATTATTTTTCTCATTTTTGCCAACTCTGAAAGCATGTCTGACCTCCAGGGACACATTCTTTTTTTCCTGTGTCAAGTGTGGAAAAAAAATTTCTTGTTGTCTGAGTTGTGTTGAAATAAAATTGGCATTTTGGGGAAGCAGCATTGCTAGGAAACTTAGGAGTGGTGGGAATCACAAAGTGCTGACGCAAGCAGATTTTGGCAGTCTGGTAAAACAGAGAAAGATGAAGAAGCCTTGTTGTCCTATAAGGTCAATTCAGATGCACAGCTGGACTTCAGACTACAGTTTCTCAAAGTGGTACTCACAGGCCACCACCATCAGATTCTCTTGGGTGATGCTTCTGAATGTATAACACAGGGCCTAGGTCAGAATGAATATGATGGGCCTAGAGAGCTGCATTTTAAGAGACTATCCATGAATCTTTTCATTAAATTAAAGTGGCCTATTTGCCATTCTGGTTCTCTATTCTCCAGCCTCTCCAGTCTTTTGTGTATGCACCTGTAGAGATACATACTCTAGAGGTGATTGACTAACTCTCATCAGACATATAAGAAACTGAGGCGTAAACCAGAGCACTGGTTTGAACTTTGGCATCCAGTAGTATGGGGATGCTTCAGCAGCAGAAGGGGGAACTGCTCATGGTTGGTGAAGCTCAGTGTGTGTTCCTTGACTCTTTGCATATGTTCCCCTGAAAGTCTTCTTTTCTTTCACCTTCAGACCCATTTTCCCTTTCCAAGAAAAGCATGAACAATTAAAATTTATCTTTTAAACAGGCGAAGTTGTCAACATGCTCCAGAAAGATTTTCATAGCCCCTGCCCACCAACCCTAGGAACCTCCTCTGGGACACAGTCATACTTGACACAAAACTAAGTGGTTGCCCTAAATGCACTGTTGTCATCTGCTTACTTATGTGTCTCTCCCCTATTAGGCATTGAATTTAATTGTCCTTATAAAATAGAGCTGCGCCCAGACCCTGACCTGGAGTTACTACTGCATAATAAATGATTGTCAAATAAATGGCTAAGCCTCGAGAACATGTGAGGTTCCTTGACGCACATTCTCCTCCATTTTCATCATCTCTGCCATCAGGAATTTGGTTTTGTGCAAAATTAAGTATGTTTGTATTAGAATCATCTTCCTATGATCCTCATAAAAATGTGTTTTGAGAACAAAATAAATAGGATAAGGAGAAAATTAGGATGCTTAAGGGATCTAAATACTTACAAAGTAAAATTTCTTAAATGCCATGAAATGATTTCAAGAACTCCAAGTAAATTTAAGAGGGGACCGACTGGATTTTGGCTAAGTGCTGGAAAAAAAAAAGTGTCCTTAATTCCCTATCCAAATATTTCAACTTAAATTTACTGGTAGCTATTTCTGAGGAAGACAGGGACTCTACAATCCTTAGTTTGTTATAAAGAAAATGTTTTTGTGGTCAGATGTTTAGGGGAAGGATTAAAGGCAATTTATGGCTTGGGCAGAAAGTAATAAAAGTGGTAACAATGGAGTGTCATCTAAATTGTCATCATATTCTGGAATTACTAACAGTATCAACCTGGCAAGCATTTTACATCTAAAAGGAATTACTTTCATTTGTCATGCTTTAAGGTAAACTTAACATCAATCTTGAGCTTCTAACCTGAACTGTTTGTTTCATTCTATTGTTTAAGAAGAGGAGTGAGTCCATTGTAGAGAAGATGAATTCTGCCTGTAAACCATTTGCCATAGGATTTAAGAAATATATTTATAATTCTTCTTTTTCAGGAAATTAGACTGATAATCTACACAAAATGTATTTTCTTGAGATTAAACCATAGCCTGTTCAGTTTCTCCAGAAATACATCAGTTTTAATTCCCATGGGGAAAAAAATCACAAGATTAAAAAAGTAAATTAACCTGATAAGTTATATTTCTTCTTGTAGCACCCCTTTTTATTAAGAATCCAGTTTACAGAGTCCTATTTGTTTAATTAGAGCAATCATAACTTTTTATAGTGCCTTACAATTTATAAAGTAGTTTTAAATGAAATTCTGTTTAATATTTGCAACCACTGTGTATAGTAATAACGTAAGTTTCCAGGTGATTGATTCCTTCCATTATTTGAGGGAGTCTCAAGGTTCACAGGTGTTAGGACATTACCAGGATCAAATAGCAGTGCCAAATAATGCAGGATTTGTCTCCAAGCAGGCATCCTCTCTAAAGTATACCTCTGGTAAATCCAGTGCTACTTTCCTTGGAATGTATGTACAAAAAGAAAACCTACAAGTGTTAAAATGTTATTACTGCTCACTCTTTTCATTTCTCTCGCAAATTAAATGATGATTGGCTCCTACGCTCAATGAAGTTCAGTTTTTAGAAACTGCCCAACTATTAGTTGCAAATGACTTTTATGTATAGGTAAGTGTGGTATGGACAATGATCCAGAAGTAGTTTTAAATAAACACGTGATATCCTTTAATTTGGTAATGCTTCTGATTTATGTAATGGTGCCAAGCCTATGTATGTAATGGAGAGCCAGTCTCAGGGCTCACACTCATCCAGAGAAGGAGACCCTCTGCATGAGTAAGCCTGAATGGCAATGGCAGTTGATGTTTTAAAGTCAGTATCATTCAACCTCCCTTTGCCAGTGGTATTTCTCTGATAATTCAAATTCTTAATGAGTTGATGCTTGTTCACCTAATATAAGATGGATTGTAGTGATCTATGGAGATTGCTCTTTAAATAAATCGTCTTCTTCCCTCTCAGAGTAAAAGAAGCCGAAGAGGTGTGCAGGCAGAAGAAAGGAAAATCATTGTATAAAATAAAACCAAGACATGACTCTGGAATTGTAAGTATCTAACTGTTCTTTTTTTTTTTTTTTAACTTGTGATTTTCTTTGGCTTTGGAACCTTGTCTTCATAGTATATTCAAGCTTATGTAATAATACTTTAATTACTTTCCTCTTAAGTTTCAATAAATGATGAGCTTCTGATTCCAAGAATCTCCTTTTCTTTATGCGTTTAGCCAGGCCCAGAAAGTTATGAGAATCTCAGTCTTCAATCTTTGAAACTTAAGAATTAAGATGATCTACTAAGTGTGTACATGTTTGTGGACATGTGAACATTGCTGGGGGGCAAGAAGCCATCTTACACTTTCTTCATTGCATAGTCATCATGAACAAAGGCTGCATTTTAACCTAGAGTACCTGGGATATGGGATTCAATGCATTGGGATCTGAAACACAATGGGAAATGCGATGTGCAGCATTGTGCTTTGCCCAGGATGCTCAGACCTCGTCCATAACCTAGCAGCTTTACAGAGTTGGCTGTATCTGACAGTTGTTGGTCCATAGGCTGAATTTAACACACTAATCTGTTTTCTTCTTGACCACTCCCTCCCTTAAAATAAAATTTCAAGTTGCACACCCTGGGAGAGAAGGTCTTGGTTAAAAGGACAAATTTTTCCTATGATAATTTAGATGTTTTGATGAACGTTTTAATTGTCATTTGTTGCTAATGCAAGTAAATGGTGCTGTTTTAAATGAAAAGTTGAGCTACATCTTCAGGTAGGAACATTTTGAATTAGATTAATGGATTGTAGTCTAAGTGGAAAAGACATGATAAATTGAGATACAATTAAATAGCTCTATTAAGAAAAAAGGAATTAAATCTTCATTTGAAATGAAATGAAAAGGTCTAATTTGAGCTACTCTGAATACCTTCCCTTTTTAATTTTTAAGTTCTTCTAACTACAACTGTTGTCTGGTGCATTTATTTTCAGAAAGCAAAGATAAGCATGAAAACATGAACAATGAATGGCACAACAATGAAAATGAGTCATTGCAACAACATCCACAAAATTCAGCTGACCTGAGGGTGGGAAGAAAACTACATCATTTTGATCATTTTTCTTCTTAACCTTTTAGTTTGTAGCTTAAGTGCAAAGAAATACTAGTGTTTTTCTTGTTGTTGTTTTGTAGTTTTCCTGTCCCCTCAGTTCCCTCCAATGTGTATAATACCATTCTTCAATGAAGTAATAGGACATTTAACAAAGATCACTATGTGCAATACTGTATTTAGTGTTTCTATGTCAATTTTTTAGGATGTTAATTTATATGAAAATAAAATGAATAATAAAACATTTCTGTGTCTGTTGTGTGCCTATGGCCTAAGAATACCTGGAAAACACAGCCATTATATTTAGAATTTAAAGGAGGAGAGGTAAGGAAAGGAGGGAAAGTAAGTTATTCTGCACATTCATGTGTACAAAAATCTTGCATATTTCAGGGATTCAATACTTAAGTCCAGAAGTGGTACCTAAGTAAAAAAAAAATCCTGATAAAATATTTACTCCTTTTTGCCTAAACTTGGATTTCTTCCTGAGCTCCAGAACATTTGGTGGTCATCTCCAATTAGATATATCACTATATCCTTACAATTCATCATGTGCAAAACTCAGCTCAGCTTGTCCTCTTGCCCCTTCAAACAAGCTCATTCTTCTGTGCTATCTATCTCAGGGAACAAAGCCACCACCCACTCAGAAAGCAGTCTTTCTTCACTTCTCACCATCCCTTTTGTCATGCTCCTGCGATGATTTGGGTGTCCCCCAAAAGTTCAGTTGTTGGAAGCCTAATGCAGCAGTGTGAGGGGATGGGCCTAATGGGAAGGGTTTGAATTAACAATATACACTGTGAAACTGTAATAATAGTGTCTTCAAGTCATGGATGGGAAAGAGTGAATCAAGACAATTATACCTGTATCATTCATATCAAAGGTGAGATACATGTTTTCAGACACTAAAAATCAATAGAGTTTAACTATCCAAAAATCTAACTGAAAGGTCTGCTAAAGGTCATATACAGTAAAGAAACATGAAAATAAACTGAAGCACTGGGATGTAAGAAATCACATCACAGAAACTGATGGAGTAAATAAACTCTAGATTGTAAACAATAACAACTATAATTTTTGTGTTTAAAAAGAATACTGTCATTTTAGATGGATAACAGGATGGAAGGAATTCAGGGAATAATTTATAACATGCTAAAGGTCTTGTCTTATTTTCTTCATTTATTTGATTCAGTAAATGTTTGCAGAGTCATTAGTACATGCCAGAAACTGCTGTACACTTTGGGAATGATGGACACAGAGAAAATGTCCTATCCCCATGAAACTTACATTCTAGTGGGGCAGACAAACCAAAAACGTGGTTTAAAATACTGTCAGGTACTATGGCATTTAAGTAGGGTGACCAATAACTTGAGCTTCAAGCTGGAACTGCTCTCCCCAAAACTGGTCATCCTACATCTATGTGCTAGGTGAGCTTTAAGTGCTACAAAGAAAAAAATAAAAGATAATATTGAATATGTTTAGACATTGTTGCAAAAAAATGAAATTTAATAGAAATTTTATATTTATTATAGGTATTCATTACCAGAATAAAAGTAATTAAAACAAAGAATTGAGGAGAAAACCTTGTTAATCCAACTGAAGGCCAGAAAGATAAGGAAAAAAATGAAGTATGCTAACAAGAGAAGTGATTGTGGATGGTAGATGGGAGAGCTTGAAGGGGTGGGAATTGATATCAGCAAGCCCTGAAAATCCTATGTAAATATTCCTTGAATTATGCCAATTTGTTATTATTATTTTCACATCCCAACTAATGAACTCAAATTTTGGTAGGTTGTATTTTTTTGATTATTGTTTTTCATGAAACACTTCTTCACTTATACAGTATAATCTAAAAGCAAAAGATGAATCAAAAGATTCATTTTTAAATGGTGTGAAAGGTAGGGAGAAATAACCTCACAGCAACAAGGAGCAAAATGCAAACTTCATTTTTAAATGAAGAGCTATTGAAAACCCAAACTACAAAATACATGGGAGATCTTCCAAATGTGTGGATGTGGGAGGAGGCAGAGAGGATATCCATGGAGACAAACCTCAAAAAAAAAAAAAAGCAAAGTCCTTTTATCTAGGGTTGGGGCTACATCCTTAGGTTCTACTCAAACTTCTGTATTTTCAGTAATGAGCCTTGCTGACCAGGATCAGGAACCTCCCTGAATGTGCTGTATTTTTTAAGCAGGAAGAATGCCAATGTGAGAAATCAGACAATTCATATTTGCAGAAATACGTCTGTCGATCAGGGTGAGGGAAGAGCCCCTGAATGAAAGTGGTAAACACTAAAACAGGTTATGCTCTGTCCTGCTTCAAAATGAAATATTTCTAGCAAAAATTTTACAAGAAATATTTAAGAAAACAGTTGAGAAATCCACAAAATATTTAAAGACACCTTTAATATCAGCCCCCCTCAACCTGTGAATTTAATACTATCCAAATAAAAATGCCAGCAGAAGGGTCTTTTGCAGAGAGGTGAAGGGAGTGGAAACAGAGCAAGTATTACAGAAGTTTACTTCAAAGTTCATACATAAAAATCAGCAAGAACAGTCAGAAGATCTTGGGGCAAAGACATTGTAAATAGAAACTGGACCCAGTTGTTAAATATATTTTAAAGGGACAATTAGTGTTTATGATAGTGAAATTCTAGAAACTTCTAGTAATGAGGTATTATACTGGATTTCCAAAAGAAACATTTTATGTATCATATAGATGATATGAAACATTTTTTAGAGGAAAAAATCCATGAAAAAGCTTGTACCTTTGTTATTTTTGTGTAGGACAAAAATCAAGAAGCACAAGAGTGGGGCTGGGGATGTGGCTCAAGCGGTAGCGCGCTCGCCTGCGTGTGGCCCGGGTTCGATCCTCAGCACCACATACAGACAAAGATGTTGTGTCAGCCAAATACTAAAAAATAAATATTAAAAAAAATTCTCTCTAAAAAAAAAAAAAAGCACAAGAGTGTGTATGTATAATGCACTTCCATTTATGTAAAATGAGGGCAATGTGATTACTGAATTTGCAAAAAAAATGTTTGCATAGGATATTTCTGAAGCACTCAAAAGAAACTGATAATATTGGTTGCTTCTAGGGGAGGAAAACGATTATTTGGGAAAGTGGAGAATTTTTTTTTTTTTTTACTATTACTTCCTTTGATTTAATTACATTTGGTACAATGTGAAAATAAGTCAATACAAAAACATCTTATATTTAACTTTTGGGAATATATCTCCTTTCAAGTATTAAACTTTACTCATCTGATCAATTATGTTGAATCAGGGAGACATGTTTGGAATGGTTTATGGTGCTCCGCGTTACTATAGCAACTCTATCAGATGTTCTCCTCAAGGAAGATGGGAAAATTCTCTAACTAGACCACTATGCAGAGCTATTTGGGAGGGTGGCAAGGCAACCCTGTTTTTCTGTTGCTGGAATGAAAAAATAAATAAAGACAAGCCAGAATGATCTGTAAGCACATTTTCTCCCCTGGTGGTCCCATTACTACAGTAACATTGGGCTTTTTACTTCACAACAGGCCCATTTTGGTACACCTTCTGCAAAAACCTCTTTTATCTCAATTTTGAAGTTATTTCAGATTGTCCTTGCGAACTCTGTGCAAACCACTGAATTTACAGGTCTATGCTTATCATATACTCTAATGATTTCCAGAGATTAATATCACTTTCTAATCCATACATCAGATCATGGGACAAATTCACACCTTATGGTCTATGCATTAATGAGAATCACCTATTGGTTTTAAGCTTTTGGAGTCAGAAACTTGCATTATGTTAACACCATTTCACAGCAAAGCCAGGTTGTAAAGAGATTCACTTAATCTAAATGGACTCCACATGATACTTGTTATTTTGTATCTACATATTCTACCTGGTAAATGCTTGTCTATAATTTGTCCCCATGTCCTTAAACCAGTGAACCCATATTTTTCAAGCAAAAGAGTGAGAATCAAAAATTTTAACATTGAGTTGACAGAATCCCAGGAAAGATCCCAGGACAGATCAACAGAGTGCCTTTCAGCACATGGAAAAACAGACAGGGATGCCTATGGTAACACAAGTTGTATGTGCTTTGGCTCCTTAAATAAAACAAAAATGAACACATACATGGCAAAAGGAAAAAACTTAAAAACAGACAGGGATGCCTATGGTAACACAAGTTGTATGTGCTTTGGCTCCTTAAATAAAACAAAAATGAACACATACATGGCAAAAGGAAAAAACCGAAAGCAAGAAACTCCAGATAAAAATATTTTGATAACTCTCAAACCTTTTTGCTAAAGTTTCAAACATCAAATCTGAAGTTTGAAGCCTTAATCAGACACCCAGTTTATCATTTAGTATCCAGTACCTTCCTACCCTGCAATAAATTAGCATTTGCATCCTTTTGAATAACTCTTATTAAATAATGTCCTGACACCAGAATTTTATAGATGAAGTTGATATGAAGATTTTACGTGTACCTAGTTTATTTTGATCTTGTTTTGTTTTCCAGAAAAGATTTTGCTATATTTATCAGGCTGGCCATGAACTCTGGGCTCAAGCAGTCCCCCTGCCTCAGCCTCCTAAGTACCTGGTACCACGGGCACACTTCAGTCCCAGGCCATGTGCCTACTCAGTGAACACAACTTTAGGAATATGATTTCGGGATGGGGCTTGGATCATCAAGAAGACATGTTATCATCCAAAGAGCAGAAGGATAATATGGTTGTTCCTAGGAAGGTGAAGCAGAGCTGAAATTCTCTGTGGCAACAAAACTATACTTTGGAGGGTGAGAAGGAGGGACAGACACACTGTGTCCACAAAGAGGGGAGGCATTGAAATGCAGGAATGGAAAGTCCCACTTTTTATATCAGGCAGTAAGAAAGTAGCTTATCTGAGCAATGGTACTAATTTCCTCTGGTGTTTCCACTTCCCGCTCTTTTAAAGGAATATTTTCTAAGGTTATTTTGCCCTCTATTACTCTACTCCTTCTCTTAGAATTATCTATTTTCATGGACTTAATCATGATTTTTTGCTTTTATATCTGTTTTTCCATAACTGACCTCTCATTCAAATTCAATTCCTATTTCTAGATTATTTCACTTTTACTGCAGATCTAACAGTGATTAAAATAAAACAAAAACCCATTTCGTCATCTTCTAATACCCAGTCCTCACTTACACTGGGCTCCCAATCACTTGTATTAATATACTCTTCTGTAGTCACCA